CAGTAATTAAATCAGTAAAACAGAACAGAACACTTCAAAAACAGATCCTAGACTAGAAATGGGGATAATGTTTCAAGAAAATAATTTGGCAACATATATGAAGAGTCTTAAATACATTCCTCTCTTCTCCACTTCAAGGAAATCATTTGAAGTGGGAACAAAGATTTATGCACAGAATTGTCCATGGAGGATTGCTCATGGAAGTGAATGGGAGACACATTGGTGGAATATGTATCACAGTCATGCTGTAAGTGGACAATTAATGCAGTCATAAAAATGTTTATAAATTACAAAAATCAGAATGTTTACAAACATGTCTTGTTTTTAAACTGGAAATACTCAGAGATGAACTTTTTGCCAATGCTCCAGAGAATTTCTGAAAGTTGATTTAGGTATGGGCACTCAAGCCTTCATATTTTGTGTATCTTCTCACCAAGCAATTACATTCAGATAGGTGTTCTAAAGAAATGATTTTGAATGTGAACAAAAAGTTCACCACTCAGCTTTAAAAATATAATATATAATTGCAAACTAAGTATCCAAAAATAGGGAGTGGGTAAATCCAAACAATGGAAACTATACATAACAATCAAAAGCAGTGTAGAAGAATATTTAAGAACCCAGAATATAAATAGATCACAGAATATTTAAATGTGTAAATCAGGTTATAAGATGATCTCAGATTAACAATAAAAACAACATCAATAAAAAGAGATGAACTACTAGTGTATACAATGACATGGATCATCTCAAAAGTATTATGGTAAATGAAAGAAGCCAGACTGAAAAGACTACACATTCAATGCTTCCATTTATATAACATTTCTGGAAAAGGCAAAGTTACAGAGACAAAGTCGGTGATGCTGGGAGCTGTACAGGCCAGGACTGACTAGTGTTCTGAGAGATCTTTTTGGGATAATGGAAATATTCTGAAGCTGGATTATGGTGATGGCTGTACAAGTGTATAAATTTACTTAAATCATCAAATATATACCTGAAATGGGTCAATTTTTATGGTATGTAAATTTATCTTAATAAAGAGACATGATGACTGAAACAAAACAAAAACCAGTTGGATACATACAAATTGGATATAACTACCCATCTGCATTGAGATGTGGACAATGGTTGTTTGCTTCTAAGCAAGGTAAGAGCAAGGGGATTTAAATATTCTCACATATGTGAGAGAATGAAAACAAAAAGCTGCCCCTGACATCGGGGACTGGTCTGGCAATTACAGCTAGGCTTCAGTGCTGTTAGAACTTGCCTGGCACTCACAGCTAGGCCATATTATTTTCCACAGTTTCACAGAACAGGGTCAGACTAGGTCATGCTGGCACCATGATAAAATGAGACAAAACAAGACCACGTCATAACTTCGTGTGAGCACAGACCCAGACAAGGTCACTGTTTTTGTGACTCACAAAACAACAAGCATCCCCCTTTCTCGGCAAATATGAACGACTGCCCAATCTGTCGCACTACCTCAATGTCACTTAAAATTGCAATCCCTGTAAAGGGGGATCCTGACACTAACTGGTATGCAGAGCTTAAGCCCTCATCAATTTCAGATCTCCACACTATTCTTAAGGACTTTTCAAATCCCAGAATGGAGAGTGAGAAATTCATTGAAGAATTCAAACTTATCTTGGCCCACCAAGCCCAGGCCTCTCTGACCTCTCTACCAACTGACCCACCTGCTGGAGAAGCCAACTGGAGATGAAAAGCTTGTTTAGAAAAGGCTAATTGGAAAAATCCAGAGAATGACTTAAAACATAATGAAATACATTTTTACCTACTCAGAATACTTCAAGGCAGAATTTTTGAGAACTATATCAAGATCTTGCCTGTTAAAGCAACTAGACCTTGATTCAACTTTGCAAGCAGCACAGAATGACTCCATAGGAGGCTTCAGAGACAGACCTATCAACCTCTTTTGAGCATTTTCAGAATTAGCTCCTGATATGGACATTTCCATGCCCTTTCCATTTTCTTGGGTAGATGTTTAAAACCAGAAACAAAAACTTGGCTGGCAAATCACCCCAATGCATGAACTTCAGCATTTGGCTGAACATTCTAAAGAGGCTTTAGATACCAAAAATGATAAAATCCAAATTAAGCTCATGACCTTACAATGCAGGCAAATAAATAGGTCCTCCTCTTGCCAAAGGGATGAAAAATACTTTCCTTTTGACAGAGGCATTTGCTAATATTGTAAAAAAAAAAAGGGAACACTGGACAGATAATTGTCTGATCTTAGCTAAAAAGGAAAGGGACTAATGTTCCCTTTTACTCTTGAAGAATCATGAAACAACTTTGAGAGAAACTGTGGTGCCAATTTCCAATGGATCCCTCAAAAAAAGGAGAACTGTTTTTTTTATTAAAGTATCATTGATATACAATCTTATGTTTCACATGAACAACATTGTAGTTTCAACATTCACCCATATTATCAAGTCCTCACCTCCTCACTGCAGTCACTGTCCATCAGTGTAGTAAGATGTTACAGGGTCATTAATTGGCTTCAAGGAGAACTATTTTTTAAAACAGAACAACCTAAACAAATCTTTCTGATAAATATGGACACTACTCTGCCAATTACAAAATCCTACTACAATTCCCACCCATCTCCCATGGTCAGGAAACTATTTGGGTTGCAGGAATTTCAAACAATCCTCAAATTCTCACCACCCAGTCTCACACTGTGATTCTTGGTCTCCTCACTGGTCAGCACTCATTTCTTCTCAGTGACACCACATCAGTAAGTTTGATCAGGAGAGGTCGCTAATGTAATGGAACTCTAATCAACTGCATTTCAGAGAGAGAGGCTATTTCCAGAAATATCGGAAGATTCTCCCAAGCATGATGCTTTAGTAGCTCAATTCTATGTCACTTTGTCTGTCCCTGTGTTTGACTCAATCCCAGCTTGGGAGTTTGTGTGAGGTCCCTGATTCTCTCTGGGCCACAGTTTTACTGATATAGAGATAATTCCAGGGGCTGAACCCACTGAAGCAGAAATGGACTTTTCTAAACCCTTACCTAAACTTGTTCAATACCCTTTAAAGCCCAAAGCTAGGGAAGGATTGAGGCCTACTGTGGAAGATTTTGTTAAGAGGAGACTCATCATTCCTTTCTTATTCTCTGTGACTCACAGTGGTTAGTGGTATAACTTTTGAAGAACAATTGAGAAGTCCAGATCAAAAAATGGACTTATAGTAAGACAGCTCTAAGTTTTTAAGTACACAAGGGTGATAAGGTTTCTGTGTTTAAAAGAATCATCAAATAATCAGATTGTTGCAGATACCAGCAATGAACAGAATCATTTTTGAAAAAAGGGTCTTTCTCAGTGTGTATGTAGCTTCTGCTGACGCCAGGCACTGTGCTGAGCCTGGGGGTACAATGGAGGCAAAGAGATGTAGGTGCGCCATCTCGGGGCTCAAAGACTTCGTCAGAGCATCACACATCTAGGAAAGGCTTTCTCCCTTGTTTTGAGCCGGCCCTTCTCCTTTCTTACTTAGCAGCATAAATGCCACTACTTCCATCTTGGAGTTCATTGTCTTTCCACCTGGCTTTCGTCTTTGAAAGATGTGAACATTGAGCTAACATTCAGTGACTTCTTTTGTGCAGTTAGTGGCCAGTAGTACTTTATTCATGAATTGACACTAAGATGTGCCATCTCGTGGCTTTCAGCAGAGGTGCTGGGAAGGGTTGCTGGGAGGTTTGCTGTTCCTCGGACAGACCCCAGATAAAGGCATCATGTCAGTGCAGTGTTCCAGGCTGCTGCTGCCTGCAAACTCCTCTGAAACATCCACAGAAGTCGCAGTCTCCTGAACACAGGTTTGGAGATCGGGCCCAGCAGAGCAGTCATCAAGTCCTCCTAGACCCACCTTCTCACTTCATTTCCATTTCCATTTCCACCCTGCGGCTACTGCTGGGCCACAGGCAAGAGATCATCCTTACACCACTGCCAGGGTCTCGAGCTTAGCAGCACTGCAGCGAAACACACTCCAACTCCCAACCTTACACTGGCTTTCATTAAGTGGACTTAGTGGATAATTGAGGCAAAGTGATTTCATGGCAAATGAGTTCCCTTCTTCTTCTAACAAAGGAAGAGACTTAAACCTCACAGCATTTAAAAAAGAAGTTCTATATTAAAATTAACAAAAAAATAGAGCAAATAGGAAAAGAGATAACTTAAAGAAGAGAGTTTAATATAAAGAATGCCTAAATTATTTCTTAAAAGAAGCATCTTTTTTTTTTTAGGTATTAGTAGTGATGGCCTTAGAATTACCAATGGGCTCTGTAAAATGTTCTTGAAAGCTGCCCTAGGAGAGGAAAAGTACAGTGAGATCCTGCCTTAAGCTGTCATCTGAGAGCCGGGACTCACAGTTGGAGGACACAATCCCACACCTGCTTGCCTGCACATCAGGATTACCCAGGAGCTGGTTCAAAGCAGGTTCTCCCGTCATTTCCCAAAACTCCAGCATTAACACCTCCAGTGGGTGGGTGCCCACCCTTGAGCCACCTGAGCCTTAGGCAGCAGACCTGCTCGATGCCTAGTTTAGGAATAGCGGTCTGGTGGAGGGGACTGAATCACAGTCTTAATGAGTAAGTTTTCCATCCGCAATGTAATTCTAGTGCCCTTTTCTCCATCTGTAAAGCGGGAAGAAACATGAGGTTCCACCTTAAAATGATATGTGGGGCAATGACATGTGGATACCAGGGGGCTGAGCTAGGAGAAAGAATGTTCTGTAGTGACATCACATGCACATTAGTCTGAGCACCCTGTTCCAAAGTGAAGTGTCTTTCCCTTCAGCCAGGTGACAATATGGAAAAAAAAATGTACCACTATTCAGACCACAAGATAGAGAGGTTCCAAGTATACATGTCAAATGCTGGCTCCAGGGCTGCACACATCTGAACCCCCAATAATGTCCAACAAGAGGCCCAAGCACATTCTGGTTAGGAGTACTTGGTTGAACAAGGCCTGCCCCGCCTACCTGCCCAGAGCTCGGAGGTTATATGAGGGGCCATGGGGGCAGCCATCACTATCAGGGCACACAGAGCGTCCTCAAACTCAGGGCTGTGGAGAACAACTCTCTGAGAAGCTTGCTGAGGGAGAGAAAAGAACAATATTAAGAATACTGAGGCATATAAAATAAGCAGGGGTAACAAAGGCCACTTACTTCACAAGCAGGTAGGAAGAAGCTCTCTTGACCATCCATTTTTGCCCTGAATAAAGAACTTTTCCCATTTAATCACAGTATTAAATATAGCTGCGGCAATGGTAACAGCAAATACATTACTATTAACCAAGCATTTACTGTGTCCTCAGTCTGACACTAATTCAGTTAGTTCCCCAACTACCCTTTGAGGGTGGTATTCTCTCCCCATTTGACAGACCAGAGGGAGAGTAACCTGCCCCTGGGTACATGGCTAACCAAGTGATAGACCCCGGAAAGAATCCAGGTTTGTCTTAATTCAGAGTTAAACTTTTAACCACCCCACAAGGTTCCTAGGTCCTGCAGGCCAAATGAGAAATGAATAGACTTGCTTAAAGGTTTGTGACGTGCAACCCCCAGTTCAGGGGTCCTCCTGTTCCCCTCAGGGATCTCAGGGGTCTGCATTTTCTTAAACAGCTCTGCCAGTTATTGTAAACACCCAGTTTCTTCCTGAGGTGTGGCTAATCAAGTAACCCTGCCACACTCACTCAATTTATGGGGTTATGACCATACGCCAGACTTTAGGAATAAGAAGTCCAGAAGGGCATGGTCTCTGCCCTCAGTCGGGAGGAAACAGACAAGTGAGACAAGGGCATCGCAGGATCCCACAGGGTACCGGTGGGGAGGGAGGGTGCCCGGCACAGTGGGCTGGGAGTTGGGGTGTGCAGTCAAAGAACGGCCAGGAGGGGAGACGGGTGGTCCTGAGGTGACTGTACGAAGAATGTTGCGAAAAGGGTTTTGTGGAGGCTGGCGGTTCAAGGCACCTGAGGAAGTTATGTTAGAAGTCAGCCTGACATACCTGTGGGACTCAGAAAATGTAACACCCTGTGATGGAAACAAGTTTGATTCAATTTTATGATAAGTTTGTTAAATGAAAAGTAGGGGCCCATATAATGTGTTTTGCTGGGCAAAGCAAGACCAAATATATTATACGTATTGTAAAAAAATGCATGTATGTTTGGCCTTTGAAAATTGCCTAAGAGAATTGACTACAACTTCATGAGTAAGATACAGAGAAAGGCTACCCAAAGGGCTAAAGACAGAACAAGGAGCCAGGGAGTAGAAATTTTGTTTTTAATTTAATTTTTCTCTATTTCCCCCTTTTTCCTAATTAAAAAAAATACACACTCAGCAAAGAATATTTGGGAAACACAAAACCACTCTCATGGTACCATACAGAAAAAGATGTATTTTATCCCAGTCTCCAAAAATATGAAACTATGTGAATCTACACACTTATATACACAACATTTTCATAACTGGGGTTTTTATCATAAGGACACTTTTTTATCATGTGTTTTTTACTCAGAGTCACATTATGCACAGTTTCTAACAGTAAGCACTCCTGGAAGGCACACTGCTAGTGCCGGGGGTACACTTCCCTCTCAGTGACAGGACAAGTCATTTCCCCATGTGCCCATCTGAAGACATTTGGGGTTCCAAGGCTCTGCAATCATAAATCATCTCCCAGTGGACATCCCTGGGTCAGAGGATACAACCATAGGGCTACGACCTCACAGCAGAAGAGCTTCCTGGCTAGCTTACGTCGACCACGTCCATCACACGTGTGTGAGAGCCTGTCTCGCTGTCTTTGAGAGAGCATGGAGACTTTGATGTTAAAAAATCTCTGCAAATTTGGTAAGTAAAAAAATAGCATCTCGTTTTTAATTTGCATTGCATGATATCAGTGAGGCAGATACTTTTTTCCGTAAGGTTTACTGGGTATTTCGAGCTCATCTTCTGTGAATTATTATCTTTTCATATCCTCTGACCACTTTTAGGTTAGGTATTTTCATATTAATTTGAAAGTGCTCTTTATATGTTAAAGATATTAAGCTTTTTGTCTGACAGATTTGTTATGTTTTCCCCAGTTTTTTTTCTATCTTTTAATATGGCATGTCTTAATATGCTGAAAATGGTAAGTTTTACGTAGTCAGATATGTAAATTTCTTTCACCGTTCTTGAAGTTTGGAGGGAGCTTCATTATAAAAAGCATTTGCTAAAAGTTTTAATGCATTCTTTGTTTGTTTGGTTTTTGTTGTCCAGACAGCTAGTTACTTGCCCAAGCTCCATCTGTTAACAAATCCTTTTCCTGACAGGGAAAATCTATTTTCCTGACAAGAGGATAAGTCTATTCTGAAAGGTTGGTTTTATTGTTTTCAGTAAGAACAAACCCGATCCATGTAGGTTAAATGACTATAAAATGCTAATGATGCCAAGAGCGTATCACAGATCAACCTGCAACCAGGCAGCGGGACCATGACAGGGGCACAGCTGGGAAAGGAGGCCCGAGTCTGGCCCTCGTTCGTCCCTAACAAATCCTAAGGCATATTGTCTAACTTCCTGGGGCCGCTACAAAATATGGTGGGGAAGGGGGATCTGGGACCAGACAATCTTTAGGAAACTACCAACTATAAAACTATATGGAAAAATGTTTCTCTAAGATAACAGAGCCATCCCAAGGCAGTGACCCCATCATGCTGTTCTCTGTTCCCACGCTGGAACCCTGCAGACCACCTCACCACAAGGCTGGGAGCTGCCCTCCCTCCTCTGCCCCCAGCAAATGAAGACAGACAGGCCACTTACCAAGAGGGCACTGCTGAGTCCCATCAGCTGAGAAATCACAGAATTCAGTGAGAAGTCCTCTGTGAAATGGGAGGTTACCTATTGGTAAAAGTTGAATAATTCACTTTCTTTAAAATTCCTTTCAGTTTTCTCCCCAAACTGGAATTATCCAAAAAATATGAAATTAAATGAATGCAATTGAAGATATTTATATATGTATTCACTATCTCAAATGATCCCTGTAGTTTTTCAACAGCACAAAGGCTTTTTAAAAATCAAAGACAATGTTGCTTCCATTACTCAAACTGTTTCACTTCCCCCTATCTGGAACACTATGGATTCTCATAGCAGGTACTTACGAGAACACTGCTAAATACGTGACTAGAGGCAGGACCCACTGATGAGCAAACATCAAAACAACAGTAAACAAGAGATGAGGTAAAGGATGTCATTTCTCCGTAGTTACATGACTTTAATTCACAATAAAGGTGAAGAGTATATGGGATATGCTAGTTTTACATTTTCAAATATGGAATCAATGTAAGAATACTAGTATGACTTGTCAGCTTTTTTCTGTTTGTGTGCCTTTCAATTTTGACCATGGACAAGAATATAGAAAAATAGCACATCTTAAGACATCAAGAGTTTCCAATTTGTTGAAATAACCCAATTCTATTATCTGACAGAATGGAAGAATTTGCCAAATCCAGAGAGAAAATATGTGGTATGAAAACAATCATTCAGGCATCACTCAGATCACTAAATTCGGTTCCATGAGCTCTGTTTGTCTATACGAGAGTATGGGCCAGAAATAAAGCTGAAGAAGTGTCACCAAATGAGGCCATGCTGGACCAAGGGCCACATCAGGTCACAGAACCAGAGAGGAAAAAACCCTGCTCCTTCAGTGACAGTCTAGAGAAGTGACCTTGGCTGACTTTGTAAGTTTGAATCAGCACACTATTAAAAAAATTCAGCCCAAGGAGCATTTGGGGTATCTAGCACCCATCAAGAAATGGCTTCAGATTTCCTAAATGCCACGCCTTCTTCCAAAGACCTATGACATTTTTCCACAAAGTTCTTAAAAAGGCAAATGTCATGGTATCATAGCAGTCTTCTGGATAAAAAATTTAAAGGGATTTACTATTTTAAAATGATTTGGACAATAATAATGGATACTATTCTCTAAGAAGAAACCATGAAAAAATCATTTATCTGTAAAACTTAACCCACAATAACTCACACAGACATCGTGTAACTGAGTGAGAAAGTCGCCACTATGCGGACATCAGGGAACTTGGACTCTAGCCTCTGCTCAGTTCCTCACTAGCTGTGTACCTTTCCCAAGACATTTAACCACTCTGTGCCTCATCTCTGTCCCCGTCTGTCATCAGATGAGGAGGCTAAAGAAGAGATCTCCTTATGCCCCTTTGACTCTAAAATTCTGCTTTTGTTAAGCAACATGTGTCGTATGTCATCAGTGTGATCCTGAATTTGGTCCTCTGCCTGGATGTGCTGATAAGTAAGCAAACACGGAAGGTGGGCCACTTCCTGAGATCCAGGATGAAAGTCATCAGAAGGAGCCACTTCCTGAGAGCATGTCTTCCCATTAGAATGTTTGTACTGCTGCTCCATCTTTGTGAGGTGTCCACAGCAGTAAGACTTACCAATCAAGGCAAGCAGGGCCACCATAATAATGAAGAAGGCCTGCAGTGCCCCCCCCCCATCCCCAGCCCCTCCCTGGGCAGGCCCCACCATGTACGTTCAGTTACAGCATCAACCAGGCTCCCCTGGGAAGCTTCTGACCTGAGAGATGACCAAGTTCTTATACTCCCAGAGCTTCCTGGCCTGGGCTTTCTCCTCGTTACTCAGTAGTTGAGGCCTGGGAACCTTCTCAGAAGCCCGAGCCTCAATGAATCGGGTTGCCAAGGACCAAAGACGCTGCTGCCATCTCAGTACCCCCGGGAGAGCATCAGCTGAGTTTAGTGTCAGTAAATGAGAGACAGAAAGAGACACCCATGAGAATGATTGATTTGGTTACACACCTAAGCCAAGAAAAGCACTTGGGAATTGAAGACACACTTAACTGTACCCCAAGGGATTTATCCAAAGGCCAGTCGAGGGGAACTCCCAGGCTTCCAGTGCCTGGGAACTCAGACCAGGACTGATTCCATCCTATATCAGAGCCCCAACTATTCAGAGCACTGGACGGCAGGGCTACACAATGCTGCCACAAACTGCAACCAGCCCAGGATGAGCTTAGAGGCTGGGGCCTGGATGTGTGTCAGTTCATGGCGTCCTTGTCTGAGAAAGCGTGCTGTGACAGAAGTGTCCTCAGAAATAACAGTGTGCTTGGGGAGACAGCTGATGTACACTGGTACAAGTTCCTCATCTCACATGGACACGTAACACGCAATGCTGGGGGACTGTACTTCTGTACAGCATGCGGTATTTTAACATGATCTCTTTCCTCCCTAGGAATCTGTATATTACCTATTTCAAACATGTTCACTAAATCTAGTTGCTAATCTGATCTTCTGGAGAAGTTGAGTGGCTTCCCCTGGTGGTCCTGGATTACAGGACCAGCCAAATTAGACCAATCTTGGTCTTTTTACCCTTTGGCCACTGGACTAGGCATTCTTGAGCCTGGAGGCACAGTTAGGAAAAGACTTCCAGAGCTCCTCCCAGGAAGGGGTGGGGAGCCAGAACCTGTACCCCACATGTCTGCGCTTTGTGAGTCCTGGGTGATTCTAACGCACTAGCTCTAGGGCTGGCATCTCTGACAGCGCTCCAGGCCACACTACTCGCCAGAGATGGTCTGTCGGAATAAATGGTGTTCCAGGCATCTGACTTCTCTCTCCCATAACAATGTCTTGGGCAGACCACATGGAGGAAAACTGAGTAACCGCTGGACAGTTTATTCTAGGGTATCTAGATACACAAGATTATTTTACCTCATGCCATCTAAGATCTAACAACCTTGGGGACAAATTTCTCTTGAGGGGGCTCTGTAGACTGCTGTGGGTGACTGAGGTCGCAGGACACAGGTAACATCAGGACCAGGTCCCAAGCAGGGTTTCTATTCTGGGAAGGGACGATGACACTGTTCCTGCCTTTCAGGGAAATCAAGAGGGGACTGTCCTCTGCAGAACGCAGCGGGCCTGGGGGCAGCACGGAAGCCGGTCTGGCTCCAAGGAAGTGTTCTCAAGGCGGGATCCTCATGGAACCCGCACCACACCTCAGACGTGCCCAAGGCAGGTTCCTTGGCCTGGGAATCTACAATTCTGAGGCTCAGTGCATCTGAGAACAGTGGTTTAAGAATGGAACAGGATGCTGGGAAAAACTGCTACCTGCTCCATAGAACTGATTACTAGAATCCTCTACTTCTGTCTTCAGCGAAGACATCTCCTTCCCCAGATTCCTTTGGCATGTGAGGCAGACCCCAAAGGAGGCAGGCCAGGAAGAGGACGGCGACTTACTCTTCACATTCCACAAGATATCCTTCTCAGGAGGGGCGGCAAAGAGGACATAGAGCCGGAGTGTGTCGATGCCATACTGCTCTACCACTTCCTCGGGGTCCACCCCGTTGTGTCTGGACTTGCTCATCTTCTCCCACGTCACCTCTAACTTCTCTTTTGTTTTTGCGTGAATAGGAACAGAACCTAGACATCAAAATAATACATTGGTATGGTATGTGTGATTCTGAATTGGTTCTGTAAAAATATATTCAGTAAGAAAACACTGGCTGAGTAATTAAAAGTGTCCATTTGAAGAATCCCACTAATTTATTTAACATACCTCTTTCTCACCTCCTATATTTTATTATAAAAAGTTTTGTCTTTAAGTAAATGAGGCCCAGCCCTCTATTATAAATCCTCCTTTCATAAATATATAGCACAGTTATAATGCCTGTGCCAGCTTTTTCTCAACAACAAGACAAAAACAATCTCCCCTTTTATAGAAATTATATACAAAATTATGTACATTATATAAATTATATACAAAAAAGAAAAATAAAAAAAGGGTAAGACTCAGACATGTTGTGTTTTCTTTATGGATTCAGGGTCTAATCTGGAAGTTGGCAGCTGACCAGTCAGGGTCTCAGAGCAGCAAAGCACACTGAGAGGCCACTTCACTTCAAGGGCTGTTCCCCCTCCCATGCCAAACATGTTCCCATCAGGGCTCATGGGCTCCCATTAAATGTGGGGGTCCCTTTGTAGTGCCAGCCTGCTGTATCCTGCTCTGTGGGTTTGTCTCCTTCCCACTTGTACCGCTGGTCCAGACGGTGCTGATGGAGGAGGCGTGAGTGGCTGTTTGGACAAGTGAACTTGTTGCCAAGCCTCAGTGGCTGGGACCAGGAAGGACGTCTGACAAGGCTCAGCCTCTCTCAGGAACTGGAACTTAGACACGGATACTTTATCTTAATTTTATGAGGCCTGGAACCACAGATCTTAGGGAGAAGGGGTGAGGGTTGGCACTGTGGCTCCCTCATGTAAACTGGAACTAGGGGTCAGAAGCCAGGCCTGGTAGAGGTGGAGAGCAGGGCTGAAGAACAGAGAGCACAAGGACGAGGGACTAGAGGCTCAGGAAAGAGGAGGAAGGAGTGGCCAGCCGATTCCTACATGCTGTGAGGCCTGGCTGTGTTTCCTGTAGCTGGGCTGGATAAACCCACACTGGGTAGACTTCTGCCCCTTCCAGCCAAATAATCCCAGCTCTCCTAGCAACCAAACTCCCAAGAGACTGATATATGTACCTCAAAGCTAACTGCATACTTTGTGACAGGCACACCCATCAAGTAGATGGAAGCCTGCCCTTGCTGATCCAAGTATTCTCTCCAGGAAGCAAGTCTGCGTGGGAAGGGAAAAGAATTTCCAACACGGCCTGGCTGGCCCCGTAACATCAGAGCAAAGGGACACTGAGGTCCTGGAAGATGCTTTATCCAGGCTGTAGGGAGGCCCAGGGAACCACTGCCCCCCGTCTCCCACACACCCACTCCAGGCTGCAGCTGCTCTTCAGAGCACTGTTGTGCCAATCAGGAAAAAGGGATCTTTCTGCAGAGAAGTTGAGAAGTTAGAAAAAGGTGCCCTCTCTTGGCAAGTGGCTGAACTTCAGGCCCTGCTCCCTGCCTTGGCTGGGTGGTTTTGTGCAGTACACAAACTGCGCAGCTATACGTGCCAGCCCTGTCCAGTACACAGCTTCACTAACAGCGGAAACTTACGTGCCCCTTGGATGTAGTCCTTTCCCCTCTAGTCTGTGTTGGAGAAACACTGCCAAGTTCTGCTGCCACAGCTGCTTTTTCTCACATGGACCTTTCTAAACCCTGATATATTACTGCTGCTTAGGTAATTTCACTGCTGCCACCTGAACCTTCTGTCTAGTGTTTGGCTTGGGAGGCTGCCTACCACTTAAGGGGTTGTTAGGTTTACCAAGTCTCATCCATTATGCACTGGTTTTTCTACATGTAAGGGCCAGAGTTCTGGGGCTTTCTCACAACTGCCTCTAGGTGCATGCCCTCCACCCCTTGCTATTTTCTAACATCATTTATTTCATTTGTATGCTGGGTGCACATGATACATCCTCATGCCATCTAAAGATCTGGTGGGAGGAACTACCTTTGAGAAAGAGTGAAAACCTAGAGAGAAGGGAAAAGGCTTAGGAGAGCTGGGAGAAGAGGGAAGCCCAGGGCACCAGGGAGAGAAGTGTTCTGCTGGGGAAGCGCTAGATGGAGCTGCTCTGGGGTGCTGCAGGAGTGGGTACAGGGGTGGCCTCCAAGGTTTTGGAATGCACTTCTAGTCCACATGGGGAGAAATGCTGGAAACAGCCCAGGCTTGAGAGTGTCTCTTGGGTCTGGGGGCTTTGTCCCTGAGATGGGCTGTCAAACATAGGCTAGGACGTGAGGTTGTGCCCGAGTTTCAGTTACATACTGCCAGAAGTCAGCTGACACTTAAGCTGGATGGAGGTGGGGCCGAGGAGCTGACAGCCAGCCCAGCCCAGACTGCAGAGGGCACAGGCCCAGAGCAGGCTGAGGCATAGAGACCCAAGGCCAGTGGGTCCTCTCCTGGACTTTCTATCCGGCTAAGGCCTTGCAGCATATGCCTGCTCTGTCAGTGGCTCTCAGGCCTGGTCTAGGTTCTCTGCTGAGTACCTGGATGGAACTGGATTGCCATTCTTACCTGTGAGATCTACTTCCTCTCTCCGTAGATACTCTCCAGATGGTAGGCGGAATGTCTGTCCCTTGATAAGGCCTTGGGCCAGCAGCTTATGAAAAGGCTCTCTGAGAAAAGTAACAGGAAAAAAAAACTGGTGGGGTAGGGGTTCGAAGCATCCAGAAAACAGCAACACAACCCTCACCAGCTGATGGAAGGCAGTAAGTGCCTGTCATGGAAACAGGCAGTCTGTCCGATGCCACCTGTAAACCCAACTGGACCAAATGGCTCCTTACTGAAGAGTGGTAAGAAAATTAAGTCAAAGTAGCAGATATTAACAACTTTCCACTGTGGTCAAGTGGAAAGAGCACCAGGCTTCAGAGGCGGAGGGCCTGGATTCGAGGCTCAGTTCTGTTTCTCAGTGATTTCCAGGAGCCAAGGCAAGTCACTTACTTGTTCTTAGCATCAGTTTGCTTATCTGTAAAACGGAGGTAATAGAAGTCTGCTTCAAAGGGTTGTTGGGAAGATTAAATGGAATGATTACACAAAGATACTTGTATATTTTAAAGAACCACACAAATGTCAGCTATGCGCTGAGTCCAGCACACAAAAGGGCTAAGGAAGACACAGAGGTTTAAGCTGGAGCTTTGTGTAAGGTTATTTTTTCCTTAGCCTTATACATAGTGCCTGCTTACGTTCTTTCTAAATTTTTAAATAATACACATTATACATGAATATACCCCTTTCTGCTCAAATTCAAACATTACCCCCTCATTCCAGGCCTCCTCCCCTCTGACGTGGGTATTATTCAAAGTTCTTTTTCAATGTCTTTTCAATACAAATGTGTATATACATGTATATGGTTTTACAGATCTTTTTGGGATTTAAATGATTGGGATCATAGTGTACATATTATTTTGTGGTATTTCATTTGATGATGTGAATGGATTTTCCAACAGTCCAGATAGATCCATCTCATGTTTAAATGGCTGTCTAATTTGGATGGATTATGATTTATAGTGCTTGTTTTTAAAAAACTAGTTTTATCATCACCTTTCCTGGCTGAATAGTGAAATATAAACTTTTTCTCTTAAGGAGACAAGGAGAGGTTGACCCTCATACTGAAATTACTTTGTTTCAAGATTTGAAACAGTTTATTCTGAAGAATTCACCTGATTCAGTTTGGAAGCATGTGAGCAAGAGCTATTACAAATTCAAAGAATGCTTTGTGGAGACATCTGCTGCTAACACATGTACAGATTCATATTTATAAAGACAGCACGTAGGAATGTGCTAATACAGAAGACTGACTGAGCTCTCCAAGGACGTCACCCTTTGGTGCTGCAAGTTCACTCAGGCAGGGTGGCTTTTATTTAGAGGTTCAAAAAGTCTTTAACTCCAAAGTGGCAGGAGTGGACTTTGTGAATTTAACAGGATCCTCATTTCGCATGCAAGGCCATCTAATTTAGATGAACCCTGATACTAAGGAAGACCTCTGGACAGGCCCCTGATTTATTCCTTGCAGCCTCTGTGTGCACAGAGGTGGTTTAAGGGAAATTTTCCAGTGGATCTGGGCGAGACTGGCTGGGAGAGAGATAAGGGTCACCTAGAAAAAAGGATTGGTGACCTTCACATTTTAAAATCTTGTTATGAGAGCATGTGTATATATGGATGGCAGTGGTGGTGGTGTGTGTGTGGGTATTTTCCAAGGTGGAAAAGACCCAATATATTTATATTTAACATTCAAGTAGAAATGTAACACTTATTTTTGAGACCTCATTCAAATTATTCCATGTCATTACTTGATGTCACAGGGCCCTCCAGCACACTACCAGCTAACTTGGTAGAAATTCCACGCAGGTATGTGCACGGAAGTCATCACACTATTGCTCTGGCTCAAAAATCTATCTTTATAATAAACTCTTTTGAGTCATAAAACCACCTTCCTCCCACCTCCCCACAGACACTCCCACTGGCAGTCACAGCTGGCAGAGTGATAGCCTTTGTCACTCCGTGGGGCCACAGTGTAGGTTCCAGCAAGACTATTAGAAAATGTGAACTCTTTACATAGAAAGATATGAAAAACAGTATAAAAATCAAATGCACTTGGGTCTAATGCTGCTTTTGATACAGAAGCCCTTGAAAGGGGAGCAGTGGTATCTGCGATTCCCTGTTTTTTGGGAACACTGGCATGGACACCATGAGGAAGCGTGTGTCCTCAGGCCACCTGGGCCTTATCCAGGGCAGGTCAGGCTTTTGATGCCCAAGGATCCTGGTCTGCATTTTCCTCAGGAAGCTCAGAGAACTGTACCCTCAGACTGAGCATTTTCTCCAACACCCGCACGTGCTCCTCACAGAGGTCACAAGGATGCTTGGCTGTTTCCAGGAAGTGCCATGCTCCCCAGGATTCAGTGCCCTCTGGCAAGAATGCCCACCTCAACCTGGCTTCCTGGGGAAGCCTGGACTTACCCTTTACTACTGAACTCAGGCATTCTCTTTCTGGTGGCTGTCCCTGTCCCCTGCAGAGTTCCAGGGCCTCCTTTGTGTCCCGAAGATCCGGCACAGCAGAGCGTGAGACGGCTGTGTTGTGATTATGACATAAAGGCCAGTCCACCCCTTGCTCTACATGCAGCATGGCAAGGACTACTCTCCTCTTCTTCCTTCTGTACCCTGCACTGAGCATTGTGCCCAACAGATGACAGGCTCTTAAATGTTCCAAACGTGGATGTATACATGAACAAATATGAATGAACAGACAGGTGGACGTGGGTGGAAGGAGGAAGACACTGGGTGTTTGCTGTTAGTGCCTGACACCATCTTTGACTTCCATCCAACTGAAGATGGCACCTGGATTTTAATCTCATTACATAAACAATACAACAATTTTAAAACAGAAGGTGAAAATCAGATGGCTACTTTTATTGGGCAGGAGAAGGAAGAGACTGGATACAAACACATTAAAGAGCAGAAAGCAAATTGAGCTAGTATCCTACAAGGGCCCCCTTCACTGAGGATCAGTGGGCTTGATGGGGTAATGTGTGCATGTACTCAGGAGGCACATTTTTTAGCACAAGTTCATCTTTTAGATCGGAATCTTCCTCAAATCACGTTACGTGCTGCTGCCCACCACAAAAGAAAGAGACCATGACCTTTTTCCCACGTGCTGGGTGCCAGTGGGATGAACTTGCTGTTGCCCTTTTAGGCGCTAGTGTTCCCGTACCCATTTTTGAGGGTTTCTTCCCCTCTTACTTATGTACGTGGCTTTGGTCACTCTTAAGAGAAATAAAGAAAGATATGCCTTTGGTATGGAAGGAGGAATAACTGGATCCCGAAGATAAAGATGAGTATGATGATCGAAATGTAATAGCCAGTAAGCTTCCAAAAGGAGCGGGGTAACAAACAAGGAATCCTGCCTTAGTCTTGCAGTTTATCAAGGGCACAATGCCGCCACCTTCTGGGAATGGACAGACGCCACTACCCCAACTCAGCTATCCGCCTGCCTAAGCCTGCACTCCGCAGGTCTGATCTTTAGTTCTTTTTAAAGCAAACACCACTGACTAGTCCTACCTGTTTCAAAACCACTTCCAACCCTCTCAGAACGAGGGATCTCAGAAGGGTATCCACAATGGAGGCTTCCTCCCAAGCTGGCGGTCGCTCCCTGACAGCACTGCATAAAACCAAGGCCTGCTCCTGAGAGGGGCTGCCATTCTCGAGGGCTGGCACGCCACCGCCTGGCAGCTGCAGCTTGCCTGGCTACCTCCCCACAGGCATCCCTGGCACACGGCAGCACTTCTGGGCTGGCTCACACCGAGCCTCAGGGCTCTTCTTAGTGCCACGTTCTCAGAGACTGATCAGCACGGGAAACGTATTCCCGATTCACTCAGCACGTATTTACTGCCGTGTGTCTAGAACTGGGGTATCACGACGATAAGCCTGTCTCTGTCCTCAGGGAGCCAGCCTATCTGCTACCACTGAACCAAACCAAGGCCTGGGCACCTCAGAGCTCTGAGGGGATAAAGGCGGAGTCTCGTCATATTTGCAGATCAACTCCTTCCAGACCAGAGCCAATTCCTCACCCTCACCATCAAGGACTTCTCTCCCTCTCTTTTCACTTGCTCTGCTCTTTCCATACGTATGTGCTTCCATGTCCCGTTCACACTACCAAAACTCTACTTCTCCTTGCAGATTCGACTCATGCCACCTCTGTGCACAGGCATCGTGGGTCCTCCTGATCAGAATGAGTTGTTCTTTTCCCTGCATTTGGCAGATACTGAATTGTACTGCATGTTCAGGCTAATTGCTTCCTTATCTGTCTTCCTCCTGTGATGCAGGAGGAGGAGAAAATCCTCAAAGACGACCTCCCAGTGCCTACTTCACAGCAGACACTCAATAAATGTTAACTGGTTTGAACTAAATCAAGTTTGTTTCCATGAATGAAGAAATAAACCTCCCAGCAGCAGCGGTGGGGACAGGTGGGGAAGAGCTGACTGTAGGGCAGGCATTGGATGCTATGGCTTCCAGCTGGGCCTTTTTGCACGGAGAAGCGCCCTCCAATTTCATACTGTCCACTTGAGTTTAAGGAAACTCAGCAGGAGCAAGGGAATGAGAGTAGGAGAGGGCCCCAAGGGTGTTCACATGGCATTACACAGCAGGAGGGGTGCTCCCGGCTCCTGGAATCCTGCTCACTCCCCAGTGACCCCCCTTGCAGTCTCCCAGGGCTCCAGGGAATGCCCCACAGGACCATGGGAACCTGGGTCTCAGTCTCTCAGCTGGACCTGGCCATACCTACTCTCACGTGTACTGGAGCTCTGAGTGAGGGGTCACCCTTGTTTATTCATTCAGCACCCATTTGGGCGACAGTTATGTACCGAGCACTCTGCATTTAGAGAGCGTAGGGTAAAAGGGCGGCCTAAGACATGCCCCTAATAACCACCAACTCCACACGGAGGAGGTACTATGTGTGATATGCAGGTACAAAGTGCATGGCAGCAATGGACAAGGGGACCCAAGGACCCTTGGAAGGACCCTGGGCTTGGAACCCAGTCCTGCTGGAGCAGAGTTCATACCACATCACCAAGTTCATTATACAGATTCATGACTGTTACAATGATTTCCCTTTAATTCATTC